CATCCCACTGTAGTCCTCCTGTAGGTCCTCCAAACCCTCTTAAACCCTCCAGACCCCCAAAAAACCCCAATCCCATCCCACTCTTGTCCTCCTGTAGCTCCTCCAAACCCTCTAAAACCCTCAGACCCCCCCAAAAAAACCCCACACCCCCTAAAAAACCCCTTTCCCACCCCCCCAGAACCTCTTAAAGGACCCCTTTTATATGGGCCTGTACCAAAAACGCGACCGCTCTCCGGCCTACGACGAACTGATCGACGAATTCATGGAGGCCATCACAGACAGGTACAGCAACCCCTTTAAGAACACCCTGACAGCTTCCCTGTCCCCCTCTGTCCCCCCTTCCAAACGTGGCCGACTGTTTCTGTCCTCCTTAGATACGGCCAGAACACCTTGATTCAATTTGAGGATTTTGGAAACCACAACGCTTTCCGTTTCCTCCGGAAGTACAGGGAGAAATATTGTACCTTTAATGATGACATTCAAGGTGGGTTCTGGGGGGTCCTCAGTCCTCCAACGGGGGTTCTTGGGTCCTCCAAGGGCTCGTGGGTACTGCAGGGGGTGTTGAGTCCTCCTCGGGGTCCTCCAGTGGGTGTTGAGTTCTCGGAGGGGTGTTGAGTCCTCCTAGGGGTCCTCCAAGGGGTGTTGACTTCTCCAATAGGTGTTGAGTCCTTCTAGGAGTCCTCCAAGGGGTGTTGAGTCCTCCTAGGGGTCCTCCAAGGGGGGTTGAGTGCTCTGAGGGGTTTGAGTCCTCCTAGGAGTCCTCCAAGGGTTGTTGAGTCTTTCTTGGGGTCCTCCAAGGGGTGTTGAACTCTCCAATGGGTGTTGAGTCCTCCTAGGGGTCCTCCAAGGGGTGTTGAGTGCTCTGAAGGGTGTTGAGTCCTCCTAGGAGTCCTCCAAAGGGTGTTGAGTCCTCCTAGGGGTCCTCCAAGGGGTGTTGAGTTCTCTGAGGGGTGTTGAGCCCTCCTAGGAGTCCTCCAATGGGTGTTGAGTCCTCCTAGGGGTCCTCCAAGGGGTGTTGAGTTCTCCAATGGGTGTTGAGTCTTCCTCTGGGTCCTCCAAGGGAGGCTGAGTCCTCCAGTGTCTGTTGAGTCCTCCCGTGTATGTTGTTGAGTCCTCCAGTGTCCTTTGAGTCCTCCCACGGGTGTTGTTGAGTCCTCCAATGTCTGTAGAGTCCTCCTATGGGTGTCGCTGAGTCCTCC